GACTGGGTTTGAAGTTTTAAAAAGGAAATCAATAATGAATAGAGCAAAGGGTGAACGCCAACATTCCTAGGGGGTGGTTGAGGTAAGACCACATCTACTCGACATGGTTCGCTTACTGAGGAAACCCGGACACGATCAGTGTCGCCTATAGACCTTCGTGCCCAACGCAGCCAAAGGCTTTTGAGATACCGAGCAGGACTAAGTGTGTTTCTCCGTGGTCATTGAGTGCAGCTGACTAGGATTGTAAGACGTGAGCCAGCAGGTCAGTGGTGGGTCGACGCTGTCGGAAACCATAGTAGCGGTCGTTGAATAGTCCACGTTCGAGGAACACGCGAAGTTGGTCTGGGATGGTGGCTTCATTTACTCTCGAAAGAACAGACTTAGGGAAAAAGGGTCAGAAACGTCCCCGAGTTTGAGAATGAGAAGAATTAACGCGTTTCCAAGGAGTTCAAAAAGTTGATGGAAACAACTGACAAGACAGCTTGAAATTAGAGCCCTCAATGGAGCACACATTTTTCGAATGATGGGTTGAATATCTTCCGGACATGATGGGTAGTTTGCGCTTAATGAGTTCAGTTCAGCTTTTAAAACAATTAACCATTCGTTCTCATGCGCCGGTTTTGGTTTCTGTCTTTTGGGTTGTGGTGGCGCAGTGGTTTAGTCGCTGTCACCGGCGTGATTGGACCCTATGACCCGAGGTTCGAGTACCGCCACCCGACTCGTGCCCGAGAAGTTTATTTCAATATTACAATCCCTCTACAATAATAGCCGAAGCCGAGTTCGAGCTTAAGGCACTTTTTCACCCGAGTTCACCACGGAAAGTGGTGTTCGGCAGGGTTGCCCTCTCTCTCCATTTCTATTTAACTTTGTCGTAGATTTAATTCTTGAAACAGCCCTATCCTCGTGCAGGGATAGCGGTATCGATTTACTTCCGGGTGACAGATTGTGATCTAGAGTATGCAGACGACATTATGCTACTAAGTGAAGACTCAGGTAAGTTGCAAGCTTTTCTGGATAGTTTGAGTGCTCGTGTAGCGATGTTCGGTATGCGCTTTGCACCTTCAAAGTGTAAAATGCTGCTCCAAGATTGGGTTGACCCAGTCTCACCCTGATCGGGGAAGTTGTAGAGGAAGTAGACAAGTTTTACTACCTGGGCAGATATATCTCACCTGGCGGACGCATCACAGATAAAGTGTCGGATACAAATAGATTGACGGTATTCAAACACCGCCGTCTACGTAACATTGCACGTGTCTGGTGGGGTAACCGGACTAGCAATGTTGAGGTTAGGCGTAGAGTTTTAGGCAGTCACGGTCGTCCACTGGAGCAAGTGATCGACCTCCGTAGATTACGTTGGTTGGGACATGTGCTACGCATGTCACCAGATAGGTT